GGCTAGGCCAAAAGATCGCACAAATCCATAAAGTCACTGACAAGTGAACTGAGTCATGTTGGTGGATGTAGGCTACCTGGTTGGGGTCCGTGGGATGATAGTAATCTGTGGTTAGAAATCTTAAATGACATGGCTCAAAATCGTTTGCAATGGTGCAGGTGCATCCACCCTTTGTGTTTCCTCAAATTCTGATCTTCTGAACTCCTCATGGTCATTTTATCTCTTATCAAATTTATCTCACTGAATTATACTTCTTCAATAACATGTTAGAACCCTAATCTTCTCTGTTACCGTTAACACTTCTACTACCTCTATCACTATGGGATTTGAATTGACAATTGCGTCTCCGTGCTTATTTGGTATGGCAACCCGAACTGATGTAAGTACGTACAAAGTTCCACGTTGTAGCTGACTGACATAACACTTTGTACTACAACTACGATGAATTCATTGAACAACAGAAATTGATCCGTGCTCATTAACAAAATACACCAAAGTCAATTATCCAAAAATCAATTCACAAACACAGTATGTAGATTTCGGACCGAAAGCAGTGAAAACATATGATTAAATTAGTGAACAAGTTAAAGTCACAAACATAATGACAATAAAATAGACGAAACTGATGTGTCATCATCTCAGTTCGTAAAGCTGAACCTGAAATGCTAAACCTATCTTTGTTCATAAGGAAGAGGTAATCATATTTAGTTAATCAGAGATCAGTCTCAAGTGATAAGTGCTGGTGGCCAAGAAATAACTTGGATTTCCAAGGAATGAGACACCCATGGAGGCCTAATTTTTCAAGGGACATACACAGATGCATAGCTGAGTGTACGTACATTTTCGGTTTAGTTTAGTCAATAAACTACCTTCTCAATCTTCGCACCCAACTGGTTAGTTGGACTCATGTATAGGAAGACCAAAATTAAATAACGCACAATACAACAGACATATTATTGACTGCGTACTGTTTCCTCAGTAAATATGGGTGTAATGTAAAAGGTTAACTCCATTAACCAAATATAAGTTTATACAGCTTGTTATAAACCACGTTGTCTTTCCTAATAATATTCTCCAGTTAGCCAAATCAACGTAGGGCGCAATAAAGTTCAAAACTTGTAATGTACTTGTTGAAAAATAAATGGCTTAACCAATAAGGTATAGCTAATCTTTCATATAACAAAGTGCAAGTTATTTTTTAAAAACTAAATGTACTTTATGATAAACAATGTACAAAATTGAAAATTAAAAAAAAAATATTTTGTACGCTAACCTGTCTCTTAAATTGATCCTTGAAATTGAAGAATCAAGTTTATTTGAATCGGAATTCTTACTAATCAATTCATCAGTATTTACAGTTGATATTATTTCAGTAGTTAGATTAATAGTAGATGTTTTTTGATGAGTTTGTTCACTTATTTGATTTAATATTTCACCTTCTTCTTTTATAAGACCCAATTGAGAATTAGAAAGTGAAACTAAATTATGATTATTATTATTATGGTGATTATGATTAGTCGATACAGGAGTAGTAAGTGATGAAGGAAAAAAGTCAACAACACTTTCATCCGATAGAATTGATGCACGATTATAAGCTTTAGATGGTGGACGACGATTTCGAGGTCTGCTGACAGCTAATTTATGCTGTAAACTAGCTAAATCTGGTGTACCAGAGGATGATGAAATTGAATTGATAGATTCATGTATACTATTAGATGGGGTTGTTAACAATACATGAGTACCACGATTAAATGAATGTGGACTATTAAAATGTTTTTGATTTGGTGAAGAGGATTCTATTGAAATTAAACTATCTGAACTTTCAGCGGATTTGGCAATTGTTAATCTAGGTGGTGGATTATAACCAGGCCGATTTTGAAGTTTTAAGTTTAATTCCTCCTAAAAAAACAGAAAAAGAAGTTAGGAAATAGTAAGATAATTAACTGTCAAGTAAATAATTCATAACAAAAGAAAGGAAACGCACTACACTGAATGGAAACCGAACAAAATCCTTTTTAAAAAATCGTAAAAGTACTTTATGTGTTGATGATGGTCGATGATTCAAACACTTAAGAACAGTGAGTCCCAAATAATTAACCCCTGTTGAACTTTGCATACTCAATATTATTAAAGTAAATATTTTTCATTAAATAACATTTCAACATCATCAAACAACATGCTGTCAGTGCAAACGAACTTATTTCAATTTTTAATAAAATGAACTGTTAGTTTTAGTCATTCAGTTACAATGAAGACATTTGAGAAAAAAATTTTTTGGCTCAAATTACCCATAGCACAATAGCACGACGACAAGAAATTAACAAGATCAGTAACAGGGGAGCAGAAACACTGCTGTGGTAATGACTGTAAGATTGACAATTGGAATTATGGTATGAAAAGATAGAATAAGAAAGAATAAAGCAAGATCGAAAGGGAGATTTCAAAAAAATGAATGTACTTGAATTATGTCACCCAAATTCTTCAACCATTGATTGTAGTTATCGTGTAGATTGGAAATTGTTGGTTTAAGAGTATTATTAGGTAAAAAAAAAAGTAGTTGAATAATTGTTCACAGAATATAGTAAACCAACTCCAATGATCTGTCATTAAATCTTTAGATAATATACTAGACTGATATAGATGAATTTCATACATTGTTGTTAATTGATTACAACAAAATTAGGAGTATCTAAACGAGCACTAAGATTTATGATTATCAATCAAGATAATATCATATGTTGAAATTTTAATGATGAATACAATATACTCTAGCAATTTGTGTCTACTACTCTCACAGCTTGAACTGTGATTGACTGTATACTAAATTTGGAAACTTATATTAAGAGATTCTTTAGCGAAATTGATTACATGCTTACTAATATGAGCAACAATGTGTTAGCCTTATACAACTCTATCTGACATTATAATAGATTTGTTGCATACAAACAAAGTATTAGCATGTCATCACTGGAAAGTCGGTAGTTAAAGTCACACATTATTTTCTTTGGCTTCAGAAGGTAAAGCATATCACAAATATGTATTATATGCGAAATACAGTAATGTATTGGAACCTGTACGTGATTATTGAATTTTTATTTATGTTAATTTATTCATGACGATAAAATAAGAAGTGTAAATAGTTCGTGTATATATGATTTTCATAAAGGTACATAGCTTTCTATGAATTATGTAAAATTAGGTCATAAAAACTTATTTTACATGATTAGAAATACATCAATACATCACAGTTCTCCTCGTTTCGGGGAATGCACTTGTTCAACCTTTATGTTCATTATTCACAACATCAGTGAAGAGTCAGGCGCCTCGGTTGGTTTATAGTTCAACGTTGTATTTGAATCTTATGCACCAATGATTTTCTAACACTCAGTTTATCACTATTCATCAGGACAGTGAACTAGGCAACGGAGAGCGCAAGAGAACGTTGACGATCATACTTGCTTCGCATAATCCTGACAGTCGTACTATTGGAAAGCTTGAGTTATTTGATGAAAACTTTTGTTAATGCGTTATTTCCACTGACAGTCCTCAAAATTTACTGAATTTCATTTGTTTACGACTATAACCAACAAGCTTACCAGACTGATTTGTAAGTTTATTGGAAAGATCATGTCCAACTAATCCAATGAAATCGATTGGATAGTTTATAATGAAACAAGAGAGGAATCAATTAATATTTTCAAAAGACCAATCATTCATAGATATCAGATCGCGAACTGACGTCAGTTGAAAAACCATTAAAAACTAAAGAGTGGTGTAGTGTTTAAAACACTGGATCTTTATAGCACTGGAAAGAGAATTGAAATCTAAGCTACACTTCTTACAATTCAAAGAACGGCTTAGTCACTTCAAAAAAATTGTGATGGACGAAAAAATAATGCAATACAATGATTCTCAAGTTGGTATCAGTTCGAGATATTCAAATTGAACAAGTTATCAAGAATCACCTAAGTAGTTAATTAACAATCTTATTTTAGAAGAATAACATAATAGAGATACAGATAAGGAAAAAGAACTAACAATAACTTACTCGAAATGCAGAAGAATTTTGGGGACGAGATACACTTTCACGGATATATGATGGTCGTGGATTAGAACCAGGTGATTCGTTCAATATACGAATCGCAGAGGAAATTCGACCACTTTTACTGAAGATGAAAATAAAAATTATCAAAAAAAAAAACATCAAAAAAAATAATTCTAATCTACATCATTTTCAAAGAATATGATGAACAAGTTAATTAGAATATTATAAGTTTAATTAATGACTGATTGGTTTAGTAATGAGAATGATTAAGTTGGCTAATAAATGATAAGAAGAGAAGAATCATGATTAACACGTGTAGATCACTGGGTCGGCAGTCTTAATATATTTTACTTAGCTAGTCGAGCACTAGGTGGTAAGTAATCCAAAAGCTAAGTGATTTGTTAATTTTTAACAATCAAAACTTATCTAATTATCTATAAGCTTTCACAAATCAGTTATTGTTTTCATGTTTTATACTAGGCTTTTTTTTATGAGAAATATTAAAACACAGGCGTATCTCATAGTAGTGACTAAATATTTTATAATCTGGGTGTCAACTACATGATTAAGGTAAAACCATATGATACCCAATCGATAGGACTGATTTTGGATGACTCATCGCAGCAGAATGTACATTCAATAGATACATTGGCTGCGAAAAATTTGCATGTACTTCGCCTTACTCGTTAGGATACAACTTCACGTTTCCCAGCATTAACAACACTGCAATAAGTGCTCATTTCGTAAAAGTTTAGATATCATGTTTTTTCATGACATGTAGGATTATTATTTATAGTTGTCCGACCATGAATGTGAATTGGAGTGCATTTTGCAATAGTTTTGCATAATCTGTTATATTATGTTATATTGTAAACACATATGGACTAATTCAATTTGATTAATGCCTGATCACTATTGGTTTTATTCTCAGATTTTTAGGTGTGTTTGATATTATCCATTCATAGGGGCCTGAGGAAAATGGCAAATGAGAAAAGCCATATACCAGGAATGTAGCTCTCTTAACCATATTTAAAGAGTTTACTGTCAACAAATACTTTAATTTTATGGATGTGTTAACAATTTGGTGTTCTCATTATTCCAATCACATTATATCTAATACTGATTTCGAATAACGCAGTTGAGGCTCTAGCTCACCCGGTTGATGATCAGTAAGAGGTTCTGAAGCAGCGAGGTTTACACACTGCTTTCACTCAAAATTGAATATCAAGACATGATAATTCCAGTGTTCTTAGTTTAAGCAATAGACGCAAATCTGTTATTGAATACGAACTATCAGGTATGTTCCTTTTTTGACGGTCACTGTGATTAGTGTGAAACATAATTGGCTTTCGTTTATTACAATCAAACACTTTACGCTTAACCTTACAGCAATCAATCATATAACTGTACTGTTAAAATGCTCATTTCTGTGTTATTCATCGCTTTATAGGAAAGAAATCGTGCTCATTTGATTCACTTTTACTATAAGTGAGAAGTATGAATAGTAGGAAGTATTATAGTTACCCGAATGGGAAAAAAATTACTGTTAGTTAATTGACTGGTTAGTAATCAATCACTAAATTCTCTTATTTATATCAAGTAGTAGACCTAAACATCCTTAAACTTTTCACCCGCCCACAAAAAATGAGGCCTGTTAACGTTGATTGGTTGGAAATCAAAATCAAATTCAACGGAAACATTAAGTTGTAATCACAATCAACATAAATATCTAGGTGTTGGGTTCATAAAACTTTTTGTTATATGAAAATTAAATAAAAGATATAACTGTGAGTAATTACACCAACAAATTATTTCTGTATTTATCGATTTAGAGCGATTGGATATAAGAATTAGTTTACTAATTATTCCAGGTAGTTGAAAGTCAATTTCACCAATGTGTTATAGGGACGGAATTTTTATTTATGTTGTAATGTGAATATGATAGATGATAAATACATAAAACTAATCAAGTGAAAATGGAAATTTTGTTATATACATACATATGTAAATATATGTATGTATGTAAAATGTAGCCAACAGTCAAGATAAAACACTAGTTTAAACAAAAAAAAACATTTCATTATTTATAGCATTGACAAGAATGAAAAAAAAAAAGTTTTCCAATGTGAATTAGGTTCAAACATAAACTGAAGTCATTTCCTGTTAGATATCAATATTCATTGCATTTTTTTGATACTCATCAAATTTCAACATACATTATTTAATGAAATTAAAATAGAAAACAGATTGAAGAACTATAACAGACATTCTTTAAAAGTAGAAATGATTCGGATGACTTATATGTTATTGGTAGATGAAAAATAACCAACTTATTTCACAAATCTAACATTACTACTTTCTTCTAATAAAAATTGATTGCATAAACTAAATCACTTATTTATTTGTTTATTTCTCAAACATATATATATATATATATAGTTGGAGTTTTTTATGAAACTGTAAATCAAAATGTACACATAGATTTGTAACAACAATACCAAGATAATCATTACAATGAAATGATTAAGGGCAAATCAATAAGAGGAATTATTGAAGAAAAGAAAACTCACCCTTTGTACATATACATAACATATATATACATAATAGCAAGCATGCGTATTTTGATTAGACACAGGAAAATGAAAGTGACCTTTATAAGCAAAGTTATATATATGTACTATCTTTTGAGAGGCAATAAAAATACTCTTAAACAATGAATATGAGTGTGAAATCATTAGAATACTTTTTAGTAAATGCCTTAATTATATGGTCGATTGTTTGTGTTTCATTTTATCTACAACCAATCAAAGGGTGTAGACTAGTATTTTAAAAACAGTAGCAATACAGAAATAAAAATTAATAACAAAGTATCTATACAAGAAATTTATCTTTATTCAAATAATGTGAATCAGTTGAAACAAATGGAACTTCAATAAAACTAAATTAAAAATAGAAGTTTAAATATAAAGAACATAAGATCAATCAATAGTTAACTAAACTAACAGTAGAATAATTAAACATTAGACACATTCCTGTGTCTTACTTCTTCAGCTTTGTAAATATTAATGTATGAATAAATGAAATCACTAGAGAAAGATTAACTTGTGCATTCTAACAAAAAAACTCCAATTGGATTTTAGACATACTACTAAAAGGTTATTCAATCAACTTTATCATCCAAACTAACCATAAATGGTTAGATGTAAACCGTTCACGTTAAGTTCAATAGTTAATTAAAATATAAAAACTCTAACAACCCATTTTTAGTTATAATAAGTGATCATTAAAAGTAAGAAAATTATCTATTTCAAATGTGTAGTCCAATTTTAAACATTTTTTAATAGAAAAAAGAACACTGTTGTAAACTAGTAATATCTTGAAGTCAACGTCAGCTCACATTTTTCTAATCAGATTCTTGTTTATTCAAAAAGTTGAAAGCACAGTAAATCCATTCTGAATTAGTGGTAGTTGTTGTCTGCAAAATTGTATTATTTATGGTTACTTTGAATAGTGTTTATTTAGGGCTACAAAGAGAATAGTTGGAGATCCAAGGAAAGAACTTTTTAAGTCAGGAAAAATACTGAAGATAGATATCATTATCCACTAACATCATCTGTAAATTAGTTGTAACCAACGACTGCTTTGTTCAGCATTTAGAATCTCATGCAGACTATCCGTGTTCTCACATAAGATCAAGCTGTGAAACTACATATGTAACAACTATCATAATAACTTCGTACTAATGAGTTCGAATTAAATGGCCTACTACATCACTTAAATCAATTATTTTACAACATAGTAGTAATAGACTGAATAATAACTAACTTATAAATAGCCTAATGCAGTTCTTCTGAATAAATAATGTCGGTACATGGAATGTTCATACTTTGTGGGAGACCGAGAGATTCATCTAAGTTGCTGCAGAAATGAAAACATACAACGTCATGGTCGAACTTGGGATCAGCGGAACATATTTGACATAGGTGGGAGAAAAAGACTGACTTCATGAGGGATGCTGTTATACTCAAACCATGAACAAGAAAATGGGTCACATACACAAGGTGTTGAAATAATGCTGTACAAAGAAGCACGAAAAGCACTTATTGGACTAGCGATCATCAAAGCATCCCTCAAAACAAAGGAAAATCGGATTACAATGAATGTCAGTTAGTGCTAAGCGCCTACTAACGATACAACGTAGACCATAAAGATCAACAATATGGGAGGCTGCAGTCAATCATTGAGGAATGGACCATTCTGATGGGACACCTAAACGCTAAAATTTCAGCGGATAACACTGGATACGAAGACATCATGTGACGACTTGAACTAGGAGAAGGGAACGAAAACAGTGAGAAATTTGCAAATTTGTGTTTTCAACAAAATTGTTAAAGGCGGCACCATATTCCTGCACAAACACATACGCAATCCCATATCGATTTCACCGGATCACAATTCATAGAACCAAGTCGACCACATCTGCATCACTAACAAGTTCAGAAGGACCATGGAGGACGTCAGAACCAAGAGAGGAGCTGACATAGCTTCACATCATCACTTATTAGTGATCATGATAAAACTGAAACTCAAGAAGCACTGGACAACTGGTAGAACAGCATCACCAAAGTTGGATATGGTCTTCCTTCAGGATACTGGTAAATTCAATGAATTCAAGATAACTATCAGCAATAAGTCACATGCCATTCGCGATCTACTCAATGAAGAGAAAACTACCATAGAGAGCTACTGGGAACGGATCGAAGAAGCAATAACTTCAGCATGTTCTGAGGTTCTATGACAAAAGAAGCACTAAAACAACGAATGTTTCTTTGGATGCGCTGGTTGCGATTCAAGAAACGAGTAGTAGGAAGACAGCAATCAATATCAACAGGACAAGAGCAGAGAAGGCCAAGAAACAGGCTGAATACACAAAAAGCGAGCAAGTGAAGAGGAACATCAAGGCTGATAATCGAAAAAACAGAGGCCACGCCACCTTCATCAAGATTTGGGATGAAGAACAAGTATCAACAGACTGCAAAGGACACCTCATCAACATACCAAAGAAAGGATATCTCAGCAAGTGTGAGAACCACACAGGTATCACTCTTCTCCCAATACCAA